TGTTAAGGTGCCCGACAAATATACTCGAAAAATAATAATCTCTTCATAAAATACTAGATTTTGAGAAACGGTGGGGGGCCATGGCCCCGTTATCCTATTTTGGCTCCGCCGTTAGAAATAAGTACAAATTAAAGCCACCAACCAACAATATCTTCAGTTAAGAAACCCTAACCCTAAAAAATCTTCGAAAGATCGAACATTCATAAACAGACTGCATGTACTCAATGAATATAATGGCACGAGAAAACTAAACCAAGAATGATAAAATCAAAGTTAAGCAATAAACTAAAGGGTAAAAGAAGAAGAGGAGAAAGATAATTAACCAGCAACTAATATAATTAAACTATTATCACTATAATAATTAGCTAGTAAACAAAAATTATAGATAGAGATTAAAGAACTATATATATAGTCTCTCTAGATCATCTAATTAAACTAGTGAATTAATTAATTTTACATGATATATGAAGTGGGTTCATATGTAAATAAAGAAAACCCCAAACTTCATGAAGATGATATATAAAACATTACACTACAACAATAATTAATATAATGCTAGCAAATTAATTATATTGATCGATTTATATATTATATGATTAGAATTAAACCCTCAAAATATATTAGTAATTACTCCTCATTTAGCTCCTTTAACATCTCAGATGGAAGCATATCTTGAAGAAGACCATGGTCTCTCGCCGAAGAAGAAGAAGAAGACGACGCATAGGGGCGAAATCGTCTTTCTTGAAATGTATTAGAGCTTGTGCCAAAACTACTCACCATTAATGGTGGTGCCAAGTAATTCTGAAAAATATTATAGGGTTGTTGTTGTGTTTGCTGCCTATAGCTGTTCATTATTTGAGGCATCACAAAAAGGGATGAACCACCACCACCACCACCGCCGCCGCCGATAAGACTGGCGGTTTCAGGCAAGACTCCACCAAAAGAAGTGCCACGTGGAGTGATGGGAGAGGGATGTGTGTGTGTACCTTCGTAGGTAGTGACAACAATGGATGGATCTTCAGAAGATCTTTCTACTCTCTTTTTCACACCACATGCTGTACTTGTGCAACGATAGTAGCTCCTATTATTAATACATGTATTCAAAATATAAATAATTAAATATAAAATCGAATTTATATATATGTACATACATATATATATGTATATACCTGGGAAAAGGGCTGTTTTTGACAGCTTTCTGACCGTACTTTCTCCATCTGTAACCATCGTCTAAGTGATCAACCTCACTCTTTGTCATGAATGCAAACCTCGGATCTCTTTCCCTTTTCTGCTTCTTCTTTTTTGCTTTCAATAACCTAAATCAAAAATATTTAATTTAATTAAAATTTATTAAAAATAATGCACTTTTAATTTAATTTGTTATTTCTCATATATATATATATATATATATATATATATATATATATATATATATTATGATGCATCACATCCGAAAGATTTGTCTTACAGTAAACCAGATCATGCATATATATTAATTAACCACAAGATCTGTATATATATATATATATATAGAAAGATATATATATATA